TCGACGGCAGCTGCGCTCCACCCCACTCGGCGCAGGCGCAGGCGGAGTATCGCCGGCCTCCGGGCCCGTTTTATCCCTTTGCAACAGGGCTTGGAGCTGCCCTCCCAAGTGTAGGCATCTGCACAGAGCTGCAATCAACAGTGTCCTTCTGGGCCCATGCCCCATATCCCAGAGTCAAGCTAAGCCTCCTCCCTTTGAAGAGTCAGTCGGGACCCTACCTCCTGAATAGGCTCTAGCACTTCTCATTTTTCCCCACGGCAACTGCATGTGGCAAAGCATGCAAAACAGGAGATGTGGAGGAAAAAGCATGAGGAAGGAAGAGCGGTTGGTAACAACCAGTATTTCCCAAGCAGGGTCTCAGTTCTAAGTTCATACTAGAATGTGTCTGAGTCTGTTTGGCCGAGCTAAATATAGTGTTCACCACGTTTCTTCCTCTGCCAGTTCCAGGAGATGGCTTGGTTGCTCTTCACTTCCACGGTCTTCTTTATTGCTGATACGGGGCATTTGTTGAAGAGAAAAAATCAAGAGGGCAGACAGCTGCAGACCAAGGAAAGGCATCCACCTGGAAGCTGAAGGAGGCAGTAGGGGAAGGGCAGAGGAGCTGGCAAAGCTAGGAGGAGGTGGGGTTCTGACCATTTAGGAGAGCGAACAGAGTTGGGGCCGGGGGAGTGCTGTAGCCTGTGGATAATGGGAATGTTTGCCAGGTGCCATGCAACGTAATTCCAGTTTGCTGTCTCTTCAAAGTGCTTCAGGAAAAGCGTACAGGAACTTTATAATTTACTTGGGTTTCTTTTAGATTTGACAGAAAGACCTAGGTCTAATTCAGGTTTTGGTACATGTGCGATGTCAGCGTTAGTGAGGGGTCTGAGGAGTGAGAGTGGGCAAAGGAGAAAGATAAGACCCAACAGAATATGGTCCTTGAGTCTCCAGAGCTTTAAGAATACTCTATTTGGGAGACATACCCCTACATTTGCTAGACATTTATTGCTGCCAATTTTTCCCCACTAACAAGAAATGTTCTACAGTGTCATACTAATCTATTTAAAAACCAGAAAACCGTGAAAATTCTGCACAAAAATCCCAGACCCATGACGAAACAAACAGAAATGCTGCTGTATCTACATCCTTTAAAAGTTATCGATGTTCATTATAAAATATTAAATGACTGAGTAAATATTAGCACACATTCTATTGTTTTCTTTAATTTCAGTGGAGTTAGGAACTAAAGGGGCAGCAGAAATTCTGTTTCACTGGTGTGAATCACTCATTCTGTCCTAAGTACACTCCTACATAATCAAGTTTAACATACTACTCTGTATCATCTGTTTGGGGGAAAAAAAAACTTTTAATAAGCCACAATTCTAAAAATTAATGTTTTATATTAAAAATGTTATCATACTACAAAAAAATAAATTCATTCTGGGATTATGGAAATGCAAATAAACCCAAGAGAGAAACAGACTGAGAGAGAAATAATTTTTTAAATAGGTACCATGAATCCTTTGGCTCATTTTACTCACTAGAGAATTTTGTTCTACTTGACCCTAATTTTACCCTGATCAGAGGAACCAGAGTTTGACTCAGCTGTGCTTATGCTGTATCATCACTCAATAGTAATACCCAATGTTAATAGGACACAAGCTATACACGTGCAGCTGAACTTTGCCTTTCTCTGATTCATTAAGCTCATCTGTTACCAGATTTTAACTTCACAAATCCAGAACTTTCAGTATCTCTTGCCCAAAGAATTCATATGGACACCAATCTGTCCAGCAGTTCTTCTGCAGGATATGTCTGCATAATACCCTCTGTTCACTGTAAAGCTTTATTCCTCTGGAAGCTGAAGGTCTTCTGAATCATTATGAAGATGTCTGCTGAACGACCTCTCCTTTAGGGCTTTGATTCTTCCCACAATCATCTCCTTCAATCTTTCACTATAATTTTGAATCCTCTACTAATCCTAGGAAATGGAGAAATATGGTCAGGCCATGTGTTTCTTTACCGGAAAAAAATATTTGATGAGGTAAGCCTATTTTCATTCTACTTAGTACAGGTGGAAAAAATCATGATTGTATTATTTATTTTATTTTCATGTGTCCTGTTTAGCCTTGAAAAGACAAAAGTGAGAGCTTCCTCCAAGTTTTACCTATTCAGCCACTCACTTTCCAGGATCCTTCATCAGGAAAGCAATTGTATTGGGTAAAAGATTGGAGTCAACACTAGAAACAAGTTTCTCTGGTGGCGCAGTGGTTGAGAGTCCGCCTGCCAATGCAGGCGACCCGGGTTCGTGCCCCGGTCCGGGAAGATCCCACAGGCCGCGGAGCGGCTAAGCCCGTGAGCCATGGCCACTGAGCCTGCGCGTCTGGAGCCTGTGCTCCGCAACGGGAGAGGCCGCAACAGTGAGAGGCCCGCGTACTGTGCAAAAAAAAAAAACGAAAAGAAAAGGCCAAGTGTGGGCCTAGCTAAATAAACAATCCTAGACAAGGTATATTAGGGTGCTAGAGGAGGTGGTTAGAGATGAAAAGGAATTCAAAGCTAAACAAGTTTTGGGTCCACAGAGACCATACAATGCTCTGAAGCCAGATGAATGTGATATAACCCGTTGTTTCCTTCTTGCTTGGTTGTCCAGAAGCTGATAATTATTTATTGTTGACTCACCATAAATATCTCTGTATAATCTCCCTTCCCAGGTGCACAGGGTGTGTGGTAGTAGCCACTGGTGGAAACTGCTGTGGGTCTGGGAGGCCAGAACTGATACTGGGATATGAAACGTCATGCTCTTAATTGTAATTCAGGAAGCCATCAGGCAAAGGCAGCACTCACTGTCTGGGGCTGTGATCTAAGTACCAGAAACCTAAATGTGAATATTAATAAATATGGAACTACAAAGACCTCCTGTATTGAGCAGAGCACAGCAGGTAGAAGAAATGTGAGTCCTCAATTCTATATGGTGCCAGTAGCCTCTAGTATGAGCATTCTGGAAGCAATTAAAGATGCTAATATGGTAAAGCCTCAGTTCTGAGATACTAATAATTTTCCCCTACCTTACATGGGATTTTTGATCATCTCTGCCATGCTCTACTAGAAAGCAAGGGGAACTTCCACGCACACCATTGAAAACTTCCACACACACAGTTGGCAACGTGCAGCACCTGGCAGCTCCTGTTGGCTCTCACAACGTGCCCCTGCAGGTCCTCATTTACCTATTGTTTGAACAGTTCTCCCCTCCTAGTGGCAAGCTTCCTGAAGGTTCCAATATCTCCATTTTTGCTTAATCTTTTTTTACATTATTCAAATTACTTAATTTTTTCTTTGTTTTATTGCGATATAATTAACGTACGACACTACATTAGTTTAAGGTATACAGCATAATGATTTGACTGACGTACTTCATGAAATGGTTACCACAGTAAGTTTTGTGAACATCCATCATTTCATATAGATACAAAATAAAAGAAAAAAAATTTTTTTCTTGTGATGAGAACTCAGGATTTACTGTTTTAACTTTCGTATATAACATACAGCAGCGTTAAGTATATCAGTCGTGTTGTACATTACATCCCTAGTACTTATAACTGGAAGTTTGTACCTTTTGATTACCTCCATCCAACTCTCCCTCCCCCCCACTCTCTTGCCTCGTTCCAGAACTTTTTAAAACCCTTTGTTATGGACCTTAATGATTAATGCAATAATAATAGCAAATATCTGCATGATGTTTTTTATTTTATAAAATACTTCTACAATACTTCTACAATACTCAGTATGTCAACTAAACCTCCATTACTAAAGTAGTGCAGCAGAAATTCTTATTTCCTATTTAGGATGGGGAAATTAAGACTCTGGGAGATTACGCGACTTGCTCGGGTAATTGTTTCAACAAGTTTTGTCAGAGCAGTGACTCAGAACCAGGACATATGACTCCAAATCAAATGTTAATTCAGCCGTTATATGCTGGTGGCCTTTTCCTGCCTTGAGCCTACATGAGAATTAAAGTCACAAACGAAAGGGCGCTAACCATTTTCTGGCATTACTGAGCAGCTGAATGTCATTGTTGATGCTTTCGGTCTTACATCTTTATAGTTGTTTCATAAATGCCCGGTCTTTACATCTCCTAAATGATTTTCATATATAATAAATGTTAGAGACAGTGGTTGGTCATTGTCATTTCACTTCTTAATGATTTGATGGAGAATGTACAAGTGGCCTGTGTATACTTGATTCAGAAGTCAGCTTGAAGCAGTGAGTCACTACAAAAATAAGCATTTAGCCATTATATTCATTCATTTTAGGCAAGGATGCTACTTTATCATCTACCCCTTCTTCTTTGGAGCGGATAAAGTAATGGATGACTCTTTTGACTGCTAGTCATCATGAAAGAGGGATATGTTATTGCTTTTTACAGTAATCAGAGCTATGGTTATGTTGGAGGGAACATGGATAAACTCTCTACCCCAGAAGCCCCAAACAGGTCTCCGGGACTGTCTCCTTTTATGTTTGTTTAAAACAGTTAAGAATGATGTTGGGTCACCCTTTGAGAAGGGCAGGATGCAAATGCTTTGTTTTACATCAAACTTGTGTGCTCAGAGCTCGTGTTAACTCCAGCTTCTTTCAGCGCAAAATAAAACGGAATATATTGAGTATACACAGAATAGTCCTCCACCAGTTCCTCTCACTTTCGTGCATGTCCTAAACTCCTCCAAAACATCTTTCCTCCAGACTAGATGAGATGGTATCATTCTTTGTAAATATAGAGACTTCTTTTCAATGTTAAAAAAAAAAGTCTAGATTCAAAAACAATAATTGTAATTGTTATCTACTGAACAAGAAAATACAAAATAAAAAAGGCTTCAGTGAATTAAATAATAGGTTTAAAAAGAAAACTTTGTTTTATTCACCATGGTATTCTGAATACACTTTTGAAAAAAGTAGTATGTGTATGCAAGACATATTTATGGTTCATCTACACATGACTTTACAGTCATCCTCCCACCCATGCATCCCTCCCACAACTGATCTAGAATTTTTGTTTACCAGATTGTTCCATTGTCAGAGCAGTCTCCATAGCTCAATCTTCTCTTCAGGTAGAGAGATCAGCCTTTATGCAAGAGCAAGGAGCTGGTATGAATTCATCTATCCCTTCAGCAGACATTTTAGTACCTCCTCTCTAAGTGCCATGCTAGATCTAGGTGGTGTGATTTCTGGGGATGCCCCTCCACCCACCCACTCATGTCTGAAATTGTGCTAGTCAGAACTGCATTCCTTTCTTATCAACCTCAGATCTCTCAACGTTCAGATTTCTCTGAGAAAGATACTACTACTGAGTTGTTGCTTGCTTTTCAATCCTAGCTACACAGTAAAATCACCTAGAGGACTTTTTTTAAAAACTGCCAATGTCTGGGTCCAACCCCAAGCCAGTTAAATGAGACCATGTAGGGGAGGAGAACCCAGAAACTGTTTTTTGTTGCATTTTTTTTATTTTGTTAAGTTTCCAGATGATCTGATATGTTGCCAGGTAAGAACTATTGGTTTCTCAATGTTCCTAAGGACCTAAAGGAGAACAGCGGCAACAGGAATGATGTGATGAAATGTCTCTGAACGTGAACCTGCCATGGAGTCTGGATCGGCAGGCAGGATAGACAAGGAACAAGTCCTGATGACAAATTTCTTCAGCCTCATAACTCTGCCCCCGACTTGTCCTGACCCGCTCTCTTATCTTGAACATGTTACTTAGAATGTTTTCATCCAAAAGACTTTTCGTTTGGCTGAACCCCATGTCTTCATTCTTTTAATACACACTAATATTTATTGAGCACCTACTGAGTGCCAGGCACAAGGCAAAGTTCTGCCCTCATAGAATTTACATTCTAACTGGGGAGAAGGGCAATAAAACAATGAATTTAACATCCATTTTGTACTTCTGGTTCTTATCTCTTTTATTTGCTGGCATCTTCCAGGTACTTGATATTACTCTGATCAACTGTAAATGGCTCTCATATTGGATTCTTTTCTATGTCATTATGCAGAGGTATCATGTGGGCTTTTTAAAGAGAATTTATAATTACACTCCATAAATCCATGTCTGAGATGACTAACTTCCATCCTACCCTTAGAAAATTAAAGTACTTTGGTTTTAAAATGTTTCTGTCTCCAGGTAAAATATGGAATTGGGGCAGAATTTAAAGTCAGGAGACCCAAATTCAAATTCTTACTCTGTCTTACTTGGCTATGTGCCCTCAGACCAGATACTTAACCTCCTTAGGTCTCAACATTCTCACTTGTGAAGTAAGGATAATAATATGAAAATCAAATGAGAAATAAACACATACTATTAACAGAGATCCACACAGAGCACATGTAAGACCAGTGACCAAGAGTGTACTGGCCCAGGGGCCAAGACCACCCTCCCTCGCCCTTCCACCTCCATAATCAAAGGTGAAGACAGATTTTCAGAAACTCCCTCCTTCTTCACCACCAAACACGTGTTCTCACCACCATTATCTATCTTGACAACTATCTCATTTTTTCATTTATCCTAATTTATGTCAGCCACCACAAACCCTCCTACTAGATCCCTCTTATCTCCCACACTCTAATCCTTTTAAAACTCTTTACATATCCTATTCTTTCATCTTCTCTCTTCCTTCCACCACTCCTGAAAACCCATCCATGGTGCTCTCTGAAATTCATGTCCATTATTTGCAAAATAACCTTGTATTAATTATCAATAGATTTGCTGCATACCAAATAACTCCAAAAATTAGTGACTTAAAATAAAAACAATCATTTACTATATAGCATAGTTTTTGCAGATTGGAAATCAGGTAATGACTTGGTTAGACACTTTTAGCTTGGAGTCTCTCACAAGGCTGCAGTCATCTGAAAGTTTGGGGAGGAAGGATCTGCTTTCAATGTAGTTCACACATACTGGCAAGTTGGTGGTAGTTATTGGGGGGGAAGCCTCTTTTCCTCTCCACAAGGACCTCTTGACAGGGCTGCTTGAGTGTCCTCATGGCCTGGTGGCTGGATTCACCAAGAACCAGTAACCTAAGAGAGCAAAGCAGAAGCTGCAGTATGACCTTGCCTCAGAAATTACACGTCATCACTTCTGCAGTATTCTACTGGTCACACAGGTCAGCTGATTCAGTAAGGGCGGGGACTAAAAAATGGCTTACATACCAGGGGGTGAGGTTCACTGGGTATCATCTTGGTGGCTGGCTGCCATACCTCTCTTTTCACAAACATTCTTTGAACACTACCTTCACCTTCTTGCTCTCATCAAAACCTGGCTTTCCCCTGAGAATACCCTATCAGCCTTCCAGTTGGAGACTGCTTTTCCTTTTGTAGCCTTCAGATCTTTGAGCCTGGAGATGAGTAGGTGTCATCCTTGCTCCTCATGGCTTTCAGACACTCCTCCCTCCCTCTTCCCTAAAAATGCCAACTTGAATCTCACATCATCATATATCACACGTTGATTGACGACTCTGCTATCCCCTCATCTCTCTAGATTCCAGCTCCTGCTGATAGCTGTACTATCCTGTGCTACCCCTGCCTTCATTCTTGAACCTATGGACACACAAGTAGATCATCATGCCTGCACCCTGGCCTCTCAATTCCTTGAACTTTTCTCTTCTCCATTGATCATGTCAACAGCCTCTAATCCTATGGTCATAGCCCTAAGACCATGTTATTAGCAATAAATGCAACCCTTCTTAATGTTAAATTCATGCCTTCCACCCTCTGACCACCACCTCCAATCTTTCCAAATCACTCCCTGTACTATCCCATCCTCAATTATCTTTCAAATTCACTGGGACCTCCATTGATCTACCACTATTCCATTGTCCCTACCCTTTAATGTTATCATCCCCCTACTTGCCAAGCTTAAATTCCGCGACCAAGCTTTATAACTGCTCCCTTACGTATACCCTCGACTCTTCTGCCTCTCTTCAGATTTATCATACTTACTTGGAAGACCGGAGTCTTGGTTACAATCTAACTCTCTGCCTGTGCCAAACCTCCACCCTACAACTAACTGTGACTGGAGAAAAACATACAGTTCTGCTGAATGGTCTCACTTTAAACTCATGCTGGATCCTCAGATATGCTCTTAATACTACTTACACATATCACAACAACAGGAATATCACAACTTAATTTCCCAAGATCATTCCTTTTCCCACTCTGCTAGATAACCTTTTTACACTTTCACTCTTCTCAAATACCCAAACTTCCTTCCTATCTTCACTACCCTTCATCACTGAGAAAATTAAAGCAATCAGAAGACAACTTCCACAGACTTCCACCCACCATATTTACACACCTACCAGTACACATATCACATCTCTGTCTCCCTGCCTGTTACTATCCATGATCCTACCTAAAGCCAACGCCTTTTCTTAGGCACTAAATGGCATTCCCTACAGCCTACTCAAAGACATCACTCCAGCACTCTCTGCTGGATCATTTTCATTCAAATGCAAGTAAGATACTGACGTCATTCTTATCTCTTAAAAACACTAAAAAAAAAATAAAATAAAACAATAACTTCTGGGCTTCCCTGGTGGTGCAGCGGTTGAGAGTCCACCTGCCGATGCAGGGGACACGGGTTCGTGCCCCGGTCCGGGAAGATCCCACATGCTGCGGAGCGGCTAGGCCCGTGAGCCATGGCCGCTGAGCCAGCGCGTCCGGAGCCTGTGCTCCGCAACGGGAGAGGCCACAACAGTGAGAGGCCCACATACCGCAAAACAAAAAACAATAACTTCTTTGGATTCCACTCAACCCACTGGCTATTGGCTCATTTCTTCCCTGTCTTTTGAAGAAGAACACCTCCAGGAACACCTATACCTGCTGTCTGTATTTTATTTCTTGCCATTCTCCATTAAAACCAATTTAGTCAGATTTTTGCCTCCAACGAAACTGCTCTTAACTGTTCACTCTAAATGTGAACAATATCCATGATGTTGCCAAATCCAGTAGCCCGGTCCTACCTTCGCTTGCCTATCAGCAGGATTTGGCACAGTTGATCACTCCCTCCTTTCTGATACACTTTTTCACTTGGCTTGCAGGACACAACATTCTCTGGTTTTTCTCCTATCTCACTGGCTACGCCTTTTTAATCTCCTTGGTTAGTTCTTCCTCTTTCTCTCAGACCCTTGAATGTTGCGATGCCCCAGGGCTCAGTTTTCTCTGACTATACTGATTCCCTTGGTGAAAACAGCAGTATTATGGCTTTAAATACCAGTGATATGCTGCTGACCTCCAAATGTATATCTCCAACTCAGAACACATTCACAGGCTCCAGATTTGTATGTCCTTGGATGTAAAATAAACATCTTAAACACAACATGCCCGAATTTGAACTGATCATACTGCCAAAACCTGCTCTACCCTCAGCTTTCTCTTAGTTAATAACAACCCCACCTTCCTATTCAGCAAATGAAAACTGCTGGAGCCCTCTTTGACTTCTCTCTTTCTCTCACAGCTCACATCCATTCCAACCACAAATCTTATTTGCTGTACTTTCAAAATATATTCAGAACCTGAATGCTTTTCCCCACCTTCTCTGCTGCTACCTGCTGTATGCCATCATCTCTCACCTGGCTACCACAGTAGCCTCTTAACAGTTCTCCCACTTCCACCCTTGCCCCTTTATAAGACTCTCAACATGGCGGCTAGAGTGATTCTTTTAAAACACTCTTGTATCCATCTTCTGTTCATAATCCCCAATTGTCCTCCCCCTGGCACAGAGTAAAAGACAATGGCTTACTAGACCTTACAGGACTGAAAACACAACCTTGCTTACCTCTCTGACCTCATCTCCAACTGCTCTTCCCCTTGATCACTCCGCTCCAGTCACATCAGTCTCTTCTTCTTCCTAGAACGTGGGCCAGACAAGCTCCCACCTTAGCAGCTACACTTTAGCTGTTCCTTCTGTGTGGATGTTATTCCCAGCTTGGTTAAATCCATAACTTTTTCATGTCTTTGCTCAAATGTCACCGTATCATGGAGGCTTACCTTTACCGCCTCATTTATTACCACCTCATTTATTACTGCAATGACACAACTGCACACACACACACACACACACACACACACACACACACTGCCAGTGCCCACTCACCCTGTCTTATTTTTTTTTAATTGTCTGGGGACTTCCCTGGTGGTGCAGTGGTTAAGAATCCGCCTGCCAGTGCAGGGGACAGGGGTTTGAGCCCTGGTCCGGGAAGATCCCACATGCCTCGCAGCAACTAAGCCCATGCGCCACAACTACTGAGCCTGCGCTCTAGGGCCTGTGAGCCACAACTACGGAGCCCGCGCGTCACGACTACTGAAGCCTGCACGCCTAGAGCCCGTGTTCTTCAACAAGAGAAGCCACTGCAATGAGAAGCCCGCAAACTGCAACAAAGAGTAGCCCCCGCTCACTGCAACTAGAGGAAGCCTGCGCACAGCCACAAAGACCCAACACAGCCAAAAATAAATAAATTAACTTTTTAAAAAATTTCTGTCATTTGTCATATTCTATGGTCTTTAGTAATTTATTTATTTATTTATTTTTATTCACTATCTTTCCCTTCTTCCTTCCTCTTCCTCCTACAATGCAAAATGAAACCTCTTTGAGGGCAGAGATCTTTATAATAGTCACTGATCTATCCTAAACCTAGAACTTCACGTAACCTATTCAATAAATCAATAAACAATGTCCTCCTAGAATTTACCACCAAGAGATTTTAGGTATAGTTTCTACAGCTAATTAGTAAAAGAGCTAAAACTTGAACTCAGACATTATTGTTACGAGTTCAGTGACCTTTCCACTCTCTTGCTCTACGTTCCAGACAAGAACAAGCCTTTCTCAAACCCTTGAATTACCAATATTAGTTGTTAAATTTTGACAACTTAATGAGAGTAAAATATATTACTTTAATTAAGTATTTGATTATTAGGGCAAATACTTTTCATGTTTTTTGCTGAATTAACTGAATTGATGGTATATTTTGCAGTTCCAAAACTTCTGTTTTGTGGCCAAGAATGATTGCTTTCTTAGACCTCTATTCTTTCTCTTTACTACCGTCACCAACACTATTTTCTTTTATAGCCCATTTTACACAAAGAAACTAAGGTTTTATCACTTTAGGAGAGTTTGTGTGCATGCTAATGAGAAAGAACACAGCCAAGTTGAAATTCAGAGGCTGTGGTGGATGCCTCCCTATTTCTGTGAGTCATTCTAGCACATCAGTATTGCAAAGCTTACAACCAAAATTCACTCCTCAGCAAAACTGCAAATCGCTACATGTTAAGTTGCTTGAAAATAGTCAAAAGCACAAATTTTTAAAACTCAAGTGCCAATGATGTACTGTCATTGGATTGAATCATTACAACAAACACCTTAAAGTAGGAGATAGCACACAGATGAAAAAGAGACGGGAATCCAAAGTTAGGACTATGTAGAGTTAGAAATTTTTCTGCTTTGGGCAACCCTCTGCTCCTCCAGGTGGTGGCAGGAGGACGGCAGCAGAAGCAACAATGAACTGTCAAAGTAAACATGTTTTAATGTTACAATTGTGACTCATAAATATTAAGTATGTCAAAATTTACATAACTCATTCATGAGGGAACCAGCAGGATGATAAATCTGGCTCAAAGAGGATATGGAGAACTGAGTAGTTATAGAAACTGAAGGAAGAATGTTGGAATAGATTGCTAGGTTAGATACAAAACTGGTTGATATTCTACAAAGCAGTAAAATCATCATCTCAAGGTTATATTTTCTGTAAATGGAAATCATTTGCACCCCTACCGGATAAAACTTTATACATTAACATGTAATATCACAGAATACAGGCCCTAATCAATACAAAATAATATGTCAAACAAAAGGATAGTTCTCCTAAAGAATTAAGTAATTCTTGGGTGGGCCTGTTAGACAATGTTACATTATGATGCTGAAAAGACACACAGCCATCCCTTTGCTTTATTTCCAAATTTTTAATAATTTTTTTTAACAGAACTGACATAGGAGAGCCTTCTCTTGAAAAGTTGCCTTTGGAGAAATACTCTATTCTACTCCATTAGAAAGTGTATATGGTCTGTTTTGAGAATCCCTCCTGGTTCAAACGCTAAAAGGATCCCTTCAGACGACAGCCTATCTTAGTACAGAGTATTTTGCTTGAATATAATTATATCTCTTCTAAACAAGAATATAATTTATTAATTAATGATTGAATGAATCCCATATTTCAGTCTGACTGATAAAATTCTCTGGATTCAAAGAATTTCAACTGTATTTCAGAAATGGGAAGCACCGTGGTGAAGAGTCTTAGAGTAAAATGATGTCCAGAAAGGTTAAGCAATTTGCCCAAGGTCACCCTGTGACTCTCAAACTTAGCTCATAGAGAAACTTAAAGCAGAAAAACACATGGGGCTATAACAGCTGTAGAAATTCCCGCTTCTGTGGTTGGTCTCTCTGTAACCATGATCTCTAACCCTCGAGTCATGCTGCTGTGCCAGAAAACAGGCCTTATAGCAGCAAGGAGCCCACGTTTAAGGACCGTGAGGACATTCTGACCATTAGTAACTTTCTCCAGTAAGATGCACAGCAAAAGAAATAGGTTAATTCAACCGCAAAAAACAAAATGATGAAAGCTTAGACGTAGCACCATTTAAATTGGCTAGTCACATCATTTCATCTTTCATGACTTGGCCATCGCTTTTTCTAATTGTTTTTCCAGAGAGAAAACTGCCTCCTTGACAAACTTTCATTTTAGAAAATAAGGCCATATTGGTGAAATAATCAGGTTTTCAAAAGATAAGAGTATATGCTGATACCAAAAACACAAGGGATTTTGACTAGTGAATAACCTTGATGGCAGATTAGAAGGCACTCATCTTCTTTTTAATTCTCCTTATCTACAAATTGAATTTCGAATACAGGATGGGCTGGTAGCGTTGAGAGTTTTGTTACTTACTCTCAAGTACTTATGTCAGTCATGATACTTATGCTTGAGCAATAACAGTCTTTCATCATGAATTTGTGGAATACTGATTCTTCTCCTACCAAAATTATTCACTTAAAACCAAGGATTTGGTATTCCAAGATGAATCTCAATGAGTGTTCAAAATTGGTTGCTAATTCCTGCCTTGATTCTGTAATCCCTAAGTTACTCTGAACAATAGTCTTTACACAATTTAAAGTTAATTCAAATCTACATTAGTTTAAAATACTTGTGCATATAACATGGCACTTTTACATTTAGGGAGACGGAGAAAACTGTCAGACAAATAGGATAACCAAAATGGACGGTCAAAATTCTGAAAACTTTAAGAATAGTTGTAATATCAAAAATACACCTTCTTAGTTATATTTAAAGTTTTAGCTCCATATTATCTCATAATTATCTTAAATCCTAAGAGGAGGCTTACTACCCAACCTGGACTTACTACCCAACCTGGACTATTCAAAATATATATTTTATTAAAATCCTCCAAATATACCATTCTAAATGACTGAATAAAAATCTTTTAAAATGGAATCTGATATTCTTATTCAGCTCTCTCAAGGTTGTTAGTAAACACTCACCTTTTAAAATAAATGAATATATCCTAATACAGAACAGAGGTCTCAAGAAAATTTAGACATCTTAAGCTGCCCAAAGCAGTATTTCCTAATAGTGTTCTTGCCACATTCAAATGATTTCATATTCTCCTAATTTGGCTAAATGTATACTAAAAAGAAGTGTTACTATTTTGATACAAGTGAGTGACCAGAATGGGGGGTTTTGGTGGCACCAACCCCATGCTCTGACATGACAAACTGCAGCCTTCAAAGGGCAGAGATCCTTTATGACTGAGAAACCAGCCCCTGAAGTCTGGGGAAAACTCTGCATCTCCATTCTGCTAGAAAAAACAAACTGTCTAATTGTTCCTAAAAATATGATGAAAGGACAATAATTCTGGTGTTTTGGTTTTTTGTTTATTTGTTTGTTTTAGCATTTGAATTAAATGTATGTGTACGCCTAGGAGAAAGAGGGAGCTGAAATTCCCAGGTCCTAAAATCTAGAAACTCGTTGAGTGAAAGGTTCAAAAATGTCCTTTGGCCATTGAATCATGTCTGTATTCCAGCTGACCATTTTTCCCCCCCTTTAGACCTCCTTAAAGTCACTAGAAATTTATATCTTGAGGGATTTGTATCATTTTAAAAACAAAATTCCTTACTAGAACTCAGATACAAAGTCACTAAGGTCACGCTTTCACTTACTCTAGGGAATTGATAAGTGGGGATAATTTCAACATATTTTCTCCTCTCATACTCCTTGAGTTTCCTATATCAGGTGGGTATTCATACAGATTGAAATGTGAAAGGACTGGAAATTAACAATGTTTTTTTTGCCTAGGGCATGAAAGATGCTAGCAAAATGCTACCTTAAAAGATTTTGGTGGTCCATCCAGCTTCACAGGTGATCCATAAAAGGGTTAAAAAAAAAAAAAAAAGAAAAAAAAGGTTTTTATTAGATGAAGAGAAAAGTCCCAAACTGGAAATGTCAAAGATAATCTAAGCCTAAGGAGACATTCTAAAGTCGGTGGTGACATCATTGCCTTTCACCTTACTGTCAACGGACACTGTATATTTTTAATGGAATTATATGAAAGTATGTTTATGTAATTCTAAAAGAATGACATATCGCTATCTCAAGAGATAATACATTTTCCCAATGTATACGTGTCCTTGGGGATTTTACATTAGAACGGAACATGTGCCTTATATATCTAAGCAAGGTTTAAAAAAAAATGTGCTTAATAATAAAATTTAGCAAATACACTGGGAACATGACATGCCCTAAAGTTATCATTTATAATGAAAACAAAAATAATCTGAGAATAAAGGCTTCTTTGAAGAAATAAATTCACAATCATGTAGATGGTCAATGCTGATGTTAGAAATTGAATTCACTAACATATTTCTATGCCCTGTTAGTAATAATTCCCTAGGTTTCCATACTGTGTTCAGTCTTTTTGTTGTTGTTTTTAACTGTTGTTTTAACGAATGGAAACATTTTATATGTAAAATAAATGAGAAACTAATGAGTATAAACTACTACAACAATCTTGGTAGCACATGTACAAGATATAAAATAAATGCTTTAAAAAGTACTTAAATTACTCAAATCCTAGCTCTGAAAAAATGGGCCCACATCAAGGAAAACACATAATCAAGCCAGACATGCGGAAATTGGTAAGTAGCCTTAGCCAGCCACATGGATCTTCCCCCCTAGCCTCCCAGGCTCAGTAGGTCTATGCTGTACTATTCCCCAGGAAGGACTGGTGTTTTCCTTTTTGTAGTTCACAGGTAGCAAGGTCAAGTTTGAATCTACTTGACTTTTTCTCTTTGTAAGCAGCAAGTCTCCTGTAACCAAGGCAACTGATACTGGCTCTGGTTACCTATTCCATATTGTTGTGCTGTCCAGGGTTATTTTCACAGCCATAATGAATCTCTTTGATAACTTCAGGGCTCCAGGTAATGTAGACAATCTTGGGACGTCTTTTTCTAAATAAGACGAGATGCTTGCATTCTCCTGGATACAGAGAGTTTCAGTATACCTCTCACCCATCATTAATATCTTATACTACCATAAAACATTTGTCAAAGCTAAGCCAAAACAGAACAAAAACCTTGATACATTATTATTAACTAGTCTCCTAGTTAATAATAATTTGGATTATTAAATATTAATAAATATTTGGATGTCATCAGTTTTCCTAATAATATCCTCTTTCTGTTCCAGGATCTAAGGGTGACACACTTCATTTACTCATTATATCTCCCTAGTCTCCTCTAGTCTATGACAGTTTCCTGGTATTTCCTGGGACAACTTTCCAGTATTTTCCAGGTTTCTCTACTGGAAAGTTACTATTTCTCCCTTCCTATAGTCTCTTTTTAGAATTGTCACTAAGTCTAGCCCACCTTCAAGGCAGAGAGGGTCCACCTCCTGAAGAGGAGAATATCAATATATACAAAATAGAATTCTCTTGTAAGGAAGGTCTGTATCTTCTCCTCCAAACTCTTTATATGTGCCCCATCTCAGTACACACACACACACACTCTCTCTCCCTCTCCCTCTCTCCCTCCCTCCCTCCCTCTCTCTCTCTCTCTCTCTCTCTCTCTCTCTCTCTCTCTCTCTCTCTCTCTCACAGTGTTACTCTCTGAGCCCTTCTCCTAGCCATCTCCCCCCATTCAGTCTGTGCTGGCTACACTGGCTTCTATGCTATTTATCAGCCCATCAGGCATGCCCCAGCCTTAGGTAAACTTACTCTTTATTCTGCCTGAAATGCTTTTTCCCCACTTATCCACATGGCTCATTTCTTCACCCCTTCAGGTCTTTACTCAAATGTTATTCTCTTAGTGAGGACTTTCTCGGCAACCCTATTTAAAATTACAATCTCCCCTCGTAATCACTGCCCATCACCTTCCTACTCAACACTACTTATTCCATCTCCCTGATTTAATCTTTTCCATAGCACATGGTCAAACATGCTATGCATTTTGTTTATTTATCTTTTTATTGTCTAGGCTACCCCTTGAGAATGCCTAAAAGCAAAATGGTTATCTCCTGTGGTGATCACTGTTTCCTCAATCCTTGGAACTATCTCTGCCCCTTTGTAGAAACTCAAAAATACATGTTGAATGAAATTATTTTTTTCAATATCTTTTTTTCAGGATCATTTTTTTCAGGATCTTAGTCATTTCAAGCTTCTGGGACCCCTCACTCTTCCCTGGGGGCTGTATCTTTGTTCTTGGGCATATGCAGAGTCATTGCAGCAGGGGGAGAGCACCTGGTCCTTGGTTATTAAAGATGATAGTAATAAGGCAAGCAGAAGTAAATGACATGAAATCTGTATATTCACCAAGATTTCCAACTGAATGGTCCATGAACTCTGCATCCTCTTCATTCCCACTGTGATGTCCCTTCAGGTCCTCTCACCCTCCAGCCCAAACCTTCTCAGAGATCACGAATGCTCTGCTGTCTGAGACCTGTGAAGCTGCCTGCAGCCTATTTGTCTACGCCCACCTCACTACTGATTCACCATGCTAGCACCAAACAAGCCAGTGGGTTCATGGAGAAGCTAACAGTCTCCTCGGGCTACATTCTTTAAAATGAATCACATGGGACATCCCTGTTGGCTCAGTGGTTAAGAATCCGCCTGCCAATGCAGGGGACACGGGCTCGAGCCCTGGTTTGGGAAGATCCCACGTGCTGCGGAGCAGCTAAGCCTGTGCGCCACAACTACTGAGCCTGTGCTCTAGAGCCTGCGAGCCACAAATACTGAGCCTGCGTGCCACAACCACTGAAGCCCGTGCACCTAGAGCCCATGCTCCGCAACAAGAGAAGCCACCGCAATGAAAAGCCCGCACACCACAACAAAGAGTAGCTTCCACTTGCCACAACTAGAGAAAAGCCCGTGCACAGTAACGATGACTCAATGCAACTGAAAATAAAACAAATAAATAAATAAATAAAATTTTTAAAAATAAAATAAAATGAATCACAGATCTTTTCCATAGCTTCCTCCAAACTTTATGTGGAGTTGTAATCACCCTCTCTATCTTGGTGGATGGGAGTTTTAAGGACATAATTAACCCTTGAAAATTCTTGTCTTCATCTTCAGTGCAGAACAGATTTTTAAATTTCTTTTGAAAAGTATGTGTTGGAGGAGTGGGTAGAGGTGGTGGCACAATTCTCTCACACTTACAGTTAATGGATAAACTTTACATACAAATATTTGTTAAGACCTTCGGCTCTTGATATTCAAAGTAAAGCTTGTACAATTCCAAAAAAAAAATCTTTTCTCTCTCAGAAAGCTCTTGCAAATCAAAAGCACCCAGGCTTCCAAGACTTGGAAGTCTACTATGGATATTTCAATGTATTTAGAAGTGCAAATAACATTTTCTTTCCTGACTCTTCCGTGTCTGGCCATCCCTGGAACAAATGAACGCCTCCTGAGGCCACAGAGGGTGTTAGTTCAGTGAGGGAGTCGATGCTTGGGAGGTGGAACCAACCAAGAGAAACAAAACCCACCCTGATAGTTCCCAAATTTACTCTGCCATGCAGAATATTCTGCTCCAATTGTTATGAAAACTCAGAAGTGCAGGCCACCTAACTTGTTTCTGAACAAGACAGCCAGATGGGGTCTCTTGTACCAAGCAAGTGTCAGGAAATGGTGCAAACCTGGTCCCAGTTGACTTGCCTAAGGCCATGATGGCCAATAAATGGCTTCATTGGTTTAGCTCAGGAAGAGACATAGCAAGGAAAATGTTAACATGCAGTAACTAAGTGGTCTAGAGTAGTGGTCTCCAGTACAGTCGAGGAATTCTAGAAAAATTATTAGAACTATTATTTCTATTTCATCTAAAGAAAAATAATAAAGTAGTTTAGCTTTGTTATTATCTCATACACCAGTTGACCCTGGCACCTTGCCTAGTTCTGTACGTTAAGTGGTTGTATGCACATTAAATTCCTAAACGGTCTTGAGACAAGAGTGGGAGTTTCATGAAATCGAGAGTGGCACCTGCTCTTGTTCATCTGCCTTCAGTATATTATGATATATTAAAGCTAACCTGTGCCTGGTAGAGCAGCCACACTCATCTGAAATTAAATTTGCCGATGTGGCTTTTCAATAAGGAAATCAGCCCCTGAAGTAATCCAGCAGCACATACAAGTTGTTAGAGAAAGCGAGTCAAACTCTCAACAAATGGATAGACTAATATTTTACTGGACTAGCGCTGTGACCACTTTCAACTGTAGTATATTATCTTGTTTTAGCTACACTAACCTTCAAATGTTGGGCAAGTGACTTAAAGGAGCTGCTACAGTATAAACACGGATAAAAGATACTACTAATAAGATAAACAGAAGTAAATTTTAAAATGGCAGCAATGACCCACAAGAGAACTCTTAGCCACATACAGACAAAAGCAAGGACAGTTTGATCCAGAGGCTCCCAAACATTCTCCATTCACAATGTCTTGATGTCTCAGTAGTTTTTTCTTGGTAGCCCTAGATTAAAAAAAAAAAAAAAAAGTTTAAAAATTCAATAGTTTCATTTATTAAGTAGTTAAGTCCAAAGAATTTAAGTATTTCTTTCCTAACAACTTAGTAGTCATTTGAAAAAAAGTAATACACATAAATTGAAAAAAGAATTTATCTCATTCTTTAACAGTGACAATTACTAATAGGATAAATGCACCTGCTGGGGTCTGCAGAGCCTCTCAAACCTTGGAATCAGATTGGACACACCACTCTCTTTTCCTGTTCCACACTGATTTTCAGAGGCACTGCTTTTTATTCCAGCAACCACCAAAAACCTAGGACTGCAAATATATGCCATCACTGAAAATATTATAGCATTACATAATGTTGAAAATGGAATCTACCTTGTGCTGGTAGTTCACATCCTATCCAACAGATGTTGATTTTTGCTGTGTTTCACTCAAAAGTTTAAAATATCCTGCTGCATCTCTGTGTAAGACCCTTGGAAAAAATGCCTGAGTCCAAGACTGGGGCAGAAGATCCACAAGGTAAGTCTAGAATATTTTCTCATATTCATAGGAAAAAAACTCTTAAAAACTACTAGAGTTATATCAGAAGGATTCTGGAGCCAACTTAAGGAGGTTCTCATTGGCCAGAGATGGGATAATTTAAGCATGTTGAGAATAATATCTTTAATAGATTGAAACGTATCAGTTTATTTAAATCCTTGTCTTAATAATAATGATTTAAAAATCCAGTTGGTCATCTTGTAGATATATATCAAGTCATTATTTTGAAAGCTGGTAAATAAATAGAAATAATCTAGCATTTCTCCTCCCTCTCTTTTTCTTTTTTTGCTTTATCTATTACAATATTTTTAGCCTTTATTTTTTATTGTAGTTTACATACAATATTATATTAGTTTCAGTTGTACAACATCATGATTCAACGTTTATATACATTACTAATTGATCACCATGATAAGTCTAGTAATGATCTGTCTCCATACAAAGTTATTACAATATTATTGACAATATTCCTTATGCTGTATCTTATATCTTTTTGACATTTATTTTATAACTGGAGCTATATATTCTGTAGCTCTCAGTCTTCTTCACCTTTTTCACCCAACCCCCCCACCTCCCTTTCTTCTGGCAACCGCCAGTTTGTTCTCTGTATCTATGGGTCTATTTCTGTTTTGTTTTATTTGGTTGGTTGGTTGTTTTTTAGATTCCACATATAAGTGAAATCATACTGTATTTGTCTTCTTCTGACTTATTTCACTTTGCATAATACCCCCAGGTCCATCCATTTTGTCGCAAATGGCAAGATTTCATAATTTTTATGGCTGAATAATATTCCATTGTGTAAATAAAATATACCGTATCTTCTGTATTCATTCATCTATCAGTGGACACTAAGGTTGCTTCTATATCTTGACTATTGTGAATAACGCTGCCATGAACATTGGGGTACATATATCTTTTTGAATTAGTGGTTTTTTTCCAGAAGTGGAATTGCTGGATCATATGGTAGTTCTATTTTCAATTTTTCGAGGAATCCTCATACTTTTTTCATAGTGGCTGTACCAATTTACATTCCTACCAACCGATAGAGGGCTCCCTTTTCTCCACATCTTCACCAACACTTGTTATTTGTTGTCTTTTTGATAACAGCCATTCTGAGAGGTCCAAAGTGATACCTAATTGTGGTTTTGATTTGCATTTCCCTGTTGATTAGTGATTTGAGCAATTTTTCATGTGTCTTTTTTCCATCTGTATGTCTTCCTTGGAAAAAGTTTATTCAGGTCTTCTGCTTATTTTTTAATCAAATTGTTTGTTTTTTGATATTGATTTGTGAGAGTTCTTTATACATTTTGGATATTGACCCTTTATCAGACATACAATTTGCAAATATCTTCTCCCATTCAGTAGGTTGCCTTTTTGTTGTACTGATGATTTCCTTCACTGTGTAAAAGCTTTTTAGTTTGGTGGGGGTTTTTTTTTTTTTTTTTTTTTTTTTGCATTTGTTTACTATTGCTTTTGTTGCCCTTACCTTACAGATCGAAAAAGAATATTGCTGCAATGTCAAAGAGTGTACTGCATGCTTTCGTCTAGTAATTTTATGGTTTCAAGTTTTATATTTAGGTCTTTAATTTATTTTGACTTTATTTTTGTATATGGTGTGAGAAAGGGGTCCAGTTTCATTCTTTTGCATGTAGCTACCCAGTTTTCCCAACACCACTTATAGAAGAGCCTGTCTTTTCCCCCATTGTATATTCTTGCCTCCTTTGATTAACTGATCAGTTAAATATGGGTTAATTTCTGGGCTCTCCATTCTGTTCCATTGATCTATGTGTCTGTTTCTGGGCCAGTGCCATACTTTTTGATTACTATAGCTTTGTAATATAACTTAAAATCAGGGAGTGTGATATCTCCAACTTTCTCTTTCTCAAGATTGTTCTGGCTACTTGGGGTCTTTTTGGGTTCCACACAAACTTTAGGATTATTTGTTCTGGTTCTGTGAAAAATGCCATTGGTATTTTGTTAGAGATTCCATTGAATCTGTAGATTGCTGTGGATAATACATTTTAACAATATTAATTTCCAACCTATGAGCACAGTGTATCTTTCCATTTGTTTGTGTCATCTTCAATTTCTTTCATCAATGCCTTATAGATTTAGAGTACAGACCTTTTATTTCCTTGGTTAAATTTATTCCTAGGTGTTTTATTCTTTTTGATACAATTGTAAATGGTATTGCTTTCTTAATTTCTCTCTGATTGCTTTTTTTTTTAAATTTCTGATTTTATTTACTTGAGCTCTCTTTTTTCTTCATGAGTCTGGCTAAAGGCTTACTAATTCTGTTTATCTTTTCAAAGAACCACCTGTTAGTTTCAGCTGTTGATCTTTTCTTTTTTTTCTTTCTTTCTTTTTTTTTTTTTTTCCTTCTACTAACTTGGGCTTTTTTTGTTCTTCTTTTTCTAGCTCCTTTAGGTGTAATGTTAGATTGTTTGAGATTTTTCTTATTTTCTCTCTTTCTTATATAAACTGAATCACTGGGTAACCAAATAGCAGATGAAGGGTGTTTCTCTTTATACAAGTATTGCAGCTAGCTAGTAAATAAAGAAGGGATGAAATAATTATAGAATATTACAATTTTGCAACATCTAATAAATTATAAAATCTTGAAATCAATTATAAATGGTTGGGACCATCACAGGAGGGAGAGAGAGAGAGAGAGAGAGAGAGACATCCAGACACTTGATAAATTTGGCAACACACAAATTTTAAACTTTAAAACACCATAAAAGTCAAAATACAAACAAGCTGGAAAAAAATATAATATACATATTAGAAAATAAGTTAATTTCTTTAATTTAGAGAACTCTTAAAAATCAGTTTGAAAAAATTAAATATGCCAATAAAAATAGATAAAAACATGAAACATCAGTTCCCAGAAAAATAAATACAAAGACATTTATTTCAGCTTTGTTTATAATAGTCAAGTCTTGGAAATACATGTTCATCAGTGATAAAAAGAAAAAATAAAAAGATGGAGAGGAATACATAAATAAAAATAAAATTAAAAGACATGTCAGCCAATCACAATGTGTGGACATTATTCAAACGATGACTCAAATGAAAATATTTTTTAAAAAGAAATGACATTTATGAAACAATTGGAAATTTGAACATTGACTGAATATTTGATAATAAGGAATTAGTGTTACTTTTTTTCATCCAATAATGTTTATTTCAAAAAGCACTTTTCTTTTAGAAAGTCATACTGAAATATTCATGGATGAAATGACATGATATCTGAAATTTCCTTCAAAATAAATAAGGGAGAGAGAGGTGTAGATGAGCCATGAATGGCTATAAGTTGATAGTCAGTGGAGCTGGGTACTGAGTACATGTATGTTCAGGAAATATTTTGTCTACTTTATTGTATATTCAAATTCTCATAATAAAATGAAGTTTTAATTTTGTAAAAAAAAAGAGCCAAAGAGGAGACAGTATAGCTTGATTTTTAGGAGCACAGGTTTCAGAGTCCAATGCCTAAATTCAAATTTTAGCTCCACGGGGCAATTATCTGAGCAGTTGCTTTCTCAGTTTTCTGATCTGTAAATCTGAAGTGATAATAATACCCACCTCACTGGACTGTCCTGAAAATGACCTTGAATAACACCCTAAATTTGGCAGACAAAATGCCATTGACTATGAGTTCAGAAAATCATGACATGGATGTAATTCTTCCTATTATGTACACTATTAGTTCTAAATTGTTCCCACACCATCCTTATCAGTGTGAATAATCAGAATCCCAGAATAAGAGTGATATTTTGAAAATTCTACACAGAGACTCTAGTTTGCTTGCCACAGGGGTCACGATTCTGCAGACCATTACTCAGGCAGTTTCTTGGGGATGCTCACATGGCAAGAAGCCAACAGCCAGCACCAACTTGCCAATCATGTGAGTGAGCCACCTTGGAAGTGCATCTTCCAGCCCCAGTTAGGGCTTCACATGGCTGCTGCCCCAGTTAACAACTGACTCAACCTCATTAGAAACCCTGAGCCAGAACCACCGAGCCAAGACACTCATGAATTCCTGAATGGCAAAAACAATAAACACTATGAGTGATAATAAAATAAATTAGTGACCATTTAAAGCCACTAAGGTTTGGAGTAATTTGTTACACAGTAATGGATAACTATTAGACATATAAAGATATGTGAACATTAAGATTCACTGGTAAATATAAATTCAGCTGTAAAATGCTACTCCAGTTTGCATAATTCTCAGAAAAAAAAATGTTCTGGAGTGTACTGCAGAGAAGTTCCTTTACAAGATCAGCAGTGGTCATGATTAATATATGGACCAATTAACACAGCAGATTAAGTGTTGGCTCAAAAAAAAAAAAAAAAGAATTTGCCTTCTTGGGCTATATCATCCACTTGTTTGAAAACAAAGTGTGTTTTTGAAAAATAAACATTGATTTGATTAAAAACTATCTAATGTAAAGC